TTTCTTTTATATTTTCAGTTGTTTCTCTTTTGCCTCCCCTCTCTCTCTCTCTCTCTGTCTCTCTCTGTCTTTCTTCTCCTGACAGGAGGACGAGGGGGGGGAGTGGATCTTGCATGAAAAGCAGGGGATAGAAGCAGCAGCCTGTGGAGACAAGGGGGGGGACGAGTGAGCTTGAGTCTGCGTCCACTTCACGCCTACTAAATAAGACACGTCCAGTTGTGGATTATCTGCGTCTGCTGCCACAGAGCTGGAGGCCCCCCCACCTCCTCCTCCTCCTCCTGCCTCTCACTCTCCCTGTCTCAGTGGCAGCAGTGCAGCGAGAGACGGGCTTCTGCTTCTCTCCTGCAGTCACCTCCACTACTGTAAGTATGAACTCACGCTCAACTGCGCTGTCTGTGCCGCTGTAGTGCTATTTATAAGAGGAACCTGGTACTTTTGTCTGAGGGCTAGTCATGCCTGCCGGTGTGAGGCAGGCTGGAAGGGGTCATGATGTGCTGATGGGCTGCGTGCTAGTCTGCTGATTGTTGACTAATTCAATGAGCTGTCTGTGGAGGAACAGGAATAGCTATTATTGTTGATCTGGACTGCAGTTGTTGTTTCAGACATGGCAAGACAGGAAGGGGTTTGTTTTGTAGGATAGTTTGCTACTTTGTTGTGTAATGAGCATGTAAGTATACATATATAAATAAATAAATAAATAAATAAATAAATGTATGCATATATATGTGTATACTTACATGCTCATTACATGCTTAAACTGGAGACTGCAGTTGTTGTTTCAGATATGGCAAGACAGGAAGGGGCTTGTTTTGAGTGGTAGTTTGCTACTTTGTTGTGTAATGAGCATGTAAGTATACATATATATATATATATATATATATATATATATATATTATGTATGTATATATATGTGTATACTTACATGCTCATTACATCCTTTTACTGGACTTCTGTTGTTGTTTCAGACGTGTCAAGACAGGAAGGGGCTTGTTTTAAAGAGTAGTTTGCTATGTATATATATATATATATATATATATATATATGGAGACTTATTGTGTACTTTGTTCTGCATCTTGTGTTTTGACACATATACAGCCTCACACTTCCCAGCATTGTGCACTAAAAGTGCCAGAATTATGAATGTTTGCTGAATCTTTCATTGTGCACTTTCATCACACAGCTCAGATGGGAGAAATTACAGTGTCTACATAACTTGTCCACTTATGACAACCTGTCTGAATGAACTCTTCGCAAAGACGCACATCCAAAGTCGCACAAACTCTGAAACACATACACACAATCAGTTAATCACGCTAATGGGAAAGCAGGTCCAGTGGAATGGGGCAACAATAGGCTGTAGGCTCTACCTAATTAGAAAGGAGAGTACAGCTATAAATAAACCAGCAGAGTATCATCAAATGAGAGAAGCAAAGAGAACAAACAGAGCTAGCTATCTCTGGGCACAGTCACGCACCGACAAACTCGTCCCCAACTTGACAACCGGGGGAACTTCTCAGATTTGCCACAGCAGAGATGGTTAGAAAAGTGGCTAAACTACACAGGGTGCATAATATGAAATGCATAAATCAGAAACTTTGAGACTTTCTTTGATGAGTTTGAGGAAGTAGCATAATTCGTTTGAAACGTTGAAACTTCAAGGAAAGCTCTGATCTCCGTTTGTCTCCATAGACTCGTTTGGAACAGCTGAGTCAGTTGCCCTCAGATGAACTCTCCAAACTAAATTTATCTCAAATTTGGAGTTGATAAGCTTAAAGCGGTTGGCCAAGAGGAAAACTGTGGAGGCAAACTTCAAATCTGAAACATAAAAAAGGTTCTGTCAAATTCTAAACCAGATGGAAAGTACAGAACCCCATATCTACCAGCCATGAGGTCTAGACTAGCCTAGTCTGCCAAACGTTGCGTGACAGAGGAAGCCCAAATGGCCTTTTCTCCATATTTGCTTTTACTTCTACCTCATGTAATTCTTCTGCATAGCTGTGTTGAAGCTCCTCTAGAAGGTGATTGCAGATAATTGCACAGCTGAGTCTCGGCAAACAGTGACAAATAGGGGGCTTTATTGCTTATTGGAGACAAATTGCACCTCACACTGAGCCGGTTGAAGAGTGTGGGAGAAATTACCTTGGAGGAATGAAATGGGCAAATTCCTAAATGAAAAAGCTATTTAAAAGACCATGGGTTCTGAGGGTGAACCAGAAAGTCAGCTAGCGAGAGGGAGGCTGACAGACATCACTGTCGGAACATACAAGATGATTGAGAACTGAGGCAAGACATGGAAGAACATTCATTTCCCTTCTGGTGATAATCAGTCCGAAAACAATATCAGACTCCGCTGGGTTCTGGAGGAATGAGAACACATTCATAAGTGCTGCAGTGTAGCTATGGGGTGTCCAGGTCTTCCTGCCACAGCAAGAAAACAGCATCCAGAGCAAATATGCTTCTGTAAGGTCTCCTGCCCACTAGATGACGGTTTCTTCGAAGTCAGAGCCCATAATGTGGCTTGAAATAAGGTCAAACCAACATGGCCATCAGAGTACAGGCCAGAGGTGGTAAGCATCTCTCAGTCCGCCCTCTTCACCATCTGTCCCCAGCGCTTTCTCTCACGCTTCACTGACATCAGCGCTCGCGGCCCTGTGCACTAATGGCCCCTTTTCACCGCTGCACAATGCTAGCACTCATCGCTATCGCCAGCGAGCACTGATTGACATTCAGTGCAAACCCACAATGCTGTTCATCAATGCTAACAAGCGTGCTCGTTTTTGACAAGGCCCTTAATGACATGGGCTGTAACTTTGTCAGCTAGGCTGACCCATGAGTAGCCTGTGAGTGCTTTAGCCATATACAAGGCCACAGAAACGGAATCCAGAAAAACACTGCTAGTCAATGAACGGATGGTCAATATCAAAGCAGGAAAAAAGGTCACTGCTGATCCATTGGTGGGAATAAGATTCACATTCACAGCCCTTCCAGGCTTCAAATGTTTGCTCAGCTAACGATTCTACAAAATTCCTCACTTCCACAAACATTCATTTCGCTTATTGATGGTCGGAATGACTTTATGGCATTTTGGGTCTCCACATGGGATCTAGGCATGCACTGGGAGTAATTAGACAACTTACCGAACATTTCGAGCAGGCTATTGCTCAGCTCTCTTCCTATTGGAGCAGGCTTCTGATGATGTCAGCACAGGTCTAAGAGGGATGAGAGGAGCTGGATAGAGGCATAATTAAATGTATAAGAAGCCCCAACCACTTATACACATCATATGGCTGAAGTGGAGGGCAATGGGAAAGGATATGTGTATGGAAATATAGTGTTAGCACGTTAGCATCGTGCACTGTACAGCCACAACTTTCTTTATTTGTGTTTAGAAAACTGGACTGACAAACTAACAATATATACAGAAGTGTTTGACATCAGTCAGGAGTTTTCAGTCCATACTGTCTAATCACCACTGCCATAGCCAAATATCCAAATAGGCGATTCTAAGATCAGAGTTTTAGGGGTGCTGAGCACCCAGTGAGTTTTTTTTCTCATCATATCTTCAATCATTCGATAACATTAATTAGCTGATACACATACAGACAGTACTAGTGTAGCACCTTGGCTTTAATATCAACGCATAGGCCTACCAGTGGCACAACAGCTCACTTCTCTCACTCGAATTCAAACAGTGGACGGTCGTTGATTGACAACCCGCAACATTGGCTTACTAGATTAAAAAAAACATCAGATAGCAAATACAATAACAGTAAACAATAAACAATAACAACATAAAGAGTGATCCGTGATTCAGCTTGAGCACCGTTAAAAGAGGCTAGACACGCTTATGGTTGACAGCAGTTGTCAGTGGACATCAAGAAAAACGGTTTTAATATTGCGTCTTTGGTTTTTATGTTGTTTATTTAATGTAGTATTTTTTTGTCTCATCTTAAAGTGTCAGTAGCAATGGTCTTGACAGAGTTGCTTAGTGTGAACTGTCCACTCTTGAAGCCCCTCCTGTTTTCAGGGTTTAAACTCAGGACATGAAATTCTGAAACTAACACAGGTCTAATGTGGTACGCAGAGTTGTAACTTTGGCTGTGTTATGTTGCATATAGTACTACAGTACTGTGCAAAAGTCAGAGACCACTCAGCCATTATGTATAAGATCATTTTTCAGCATCAGAGAAAAACGCAGAAAACATGTTTAGCAGAAAATTATACAGAAGCCTCAACAACTAAATGTAATATTTTTTCAGTATTCAGTGTGTCCACTCTTTCCCTTTATTACAGCTGGAATATCTTCCATACCTCCAAAGTTCAGTCTTAGATGTTGGTTGCGTTTTCACCATACAAATAATCCCAAACACAGTCACTGATTTTGAGGTCTGGAGTCCAGTTTCAGTGGTCTAGTGAACATTTTCGTCTTTTCTCAGTGAGGCGTCTTGGCAGCTACACATCCTTTAAGATCCATAATGTTGAGTTGTCTTGTCACAGTGGAACAATGGACATTAACACCTGTGGATGGTTGGTATAGTATACTGGGGTTCAGTCCCCCACTTGGGCCAGCACCCTACACTATACCAGTATACCAGTCCTTGGGCAAGACTCCTAACACTGCCTTCACCCACCTGTGTGAAATGATCAAATTGTAAGTCACTCTGGAAAAACATGTCTGCCCAATGCCGTAAGTGTAAATGGACTGTTTTCTCTCTTTGTTCTCTCAAAGATGAAAGGTTGTTAGGAATCCCATTTTCTCTATATCTTTTGATTTAAGAGTTCAGACCATGCTTTCAACTGGTGGTAGTATGAGGGGAGGCTGTGATTGAGGGATGGGACTGGCAAATTTGGGCTGCAGTTCTGGGCAGAAGGCTGAACCCTCTGGATTTTGGATGGTGGTAGGACTGAAAGATAGACCTGAGGAGGACCAGGGAGGTGGTGGAAATTGAGCAAACTTTATTATGGGAAACAAAAGGCAGAGAAGAATGGATTGGATAAGATTGGAAGGAGAAGGGGTTTCAGGCATGCCCCCCCCCACCCCCCTGAATTTACAGTTGTGCCAGGAAGACTCAGGAGGCAAGAGTGAAGGAGGATTTTTTTGTATCCTCAATGGAGTTTTACATGTTGAAGGATAACAATTCAGTGGAAATGAGAGAGTCTTTGGCGTAGGCCCCGTCCTCGGTCCAGGTCTTGGAGCAACGAGACCCTCACTGATCCTGCGGGATAGAGAAAGCAGGGGCGGAGCCTACCCCTGGACAGCCAGGCTGGGACCCAACTGGTGGTGGTGGGGAGGAAGGAGGGGAACTTCAAAATGTAGGCACCTGAAAGAAGCAGCTGAATAGGTACGCAAGTTGAGTCGTTT